TTGAAAAAGAAACAGAGCAGAGCACAAATTCTGGATTTCTTTTCCCAGATTTTTGTGTTTATTGCTTCACTGAAGTCTTTACAAGTGCCGAAGTCCAGCCCAGCAAATCCCAGGGTGGCAGAGCTTCCACGGGCCCTGCTGCCCCGTGGCACCCTGTGGCCAAGGGTGGAGTGGACAGAAAGCTCTCCACGCCCTCGGCTCCGAGGGACACAGCATGCTCGGGGTCTGATGTGTTACGAGCAGCGGATAAGTCTAGGCTTCACAGTGACAGAAGACAGTCGCCTCTTCAAACCTTCTCCTGGCCTGGGTCTGTCCTTAACACCACAGGCTGTCACACACTGACTGATTTTTGACTCAGAAAGATCCTTTGTGTCTCATTTGGGGAGGATGTGGGAGAAGATAAAGGGGTTTGAGAGGGCAAACCAGCAGGACAGAGTTAAGTAATCTCCCCACCCTTTCCAAGAAGGGAGCTGGGGTGAGATGTAAGAACACTGGACGAGGAGTTAGAGGGCCGGCATTCAAGCCGTACCCTCACCTCCATTTACTAGCTGTGTGATCCTGGGCAAGCCCCTTCACCTCCCTGAATTTTAGTGTCTGTACGATGAGTCATTTCAATCAGATCAGCTCTGTGAGTCCTTCGCACACTGAAATCTGAACTGATCCTAAGCTAGACACCTTTGTACCTATCTCATTTCCATCCTTGTCATTATGGAACATCCATTTAATACTATTATACTGACGGAGGAGCACTGGTTTGGGGTGTGGCTCGAGACACTGTTTGGTGGGGACCTTCTGGCTTCCCTGGATGGTTCATCTTTCCCTCAGATCCTTCTCTGAACCTGTCTCAGGAAGGCTCGTTCTTGGGAGGGGAGGGAAGGAAAGGCTGCGGCTCTGGCTTGGGCTGGGACAGCTGCGGGTTTGGTCTGAGCTTCCGTGGGTCGTCCCTGCTCGCTTTCAGGGAGACGGCTGCTAGGAGTCGGGCTCTGCCCAGAACCCCGAGTCTCCTGGTATTTCAAGCTTTGTTTCATTTGTTTGACTCCTCTAATATTTTTTATTTTTTATTTTTAAATCAGGGATCTCCTTATGCTATTCCTGTCACCATGCACAGCTCAACCAAGACCCATAGGGTGACTTCTTTCCAGTGGACCTGTGTTTGGCAGGGGCTGCTGGCATGGTGACCAAGGTGCCAAGAGTGAGGAGTGTGCTCTGTGCCTGTATCCGAGGCACCTGCCGTCCTCCTTCTGAGAAGTGGTTCCCTGGCACCAGCCCCTGCTGACCGAAAGCCCAAGGAGCCTCACCTCCTCAGTGTTAGCGAAGCAGCCTTGCAAGGAGAGGCAAACGTGTTAGATCCCCACTCCCTCTGTCACAGGGCTGTTTACGAATGCTCTGGGACTTGGCTCTGATCCTGCAAAGGGCTTCAGGAGACTTAAAGAGCCACGGCCTGTGCTGTTGCTGGGGAAGGCCCCTCTCCTTTGCATCAGATTTGTTCTGCCTCAGTTGTGCCCTCAGGGATCGCCCAAAGCGGGCCTAGCCTGGGCAGCCTCTTCCCCGGCCCGAGCTGTGCACCGCGCAGAGCCCTTCGTGTCTCATCTCAGGTGGGCCCGGGTGCAGACTCGCCCTCTCCGAGACAATGTCATAATCTGTGTTGTTCTCCCTGAGGTGCCACCCTGCGATGAGGCCTTGGACTGCGGTGCGTGTGCCCACGTGTGGGTGCTGGGTGTGGGTGGCAGAGGCAGTCCCTCGGCTGGGACACCCACACATGTCCTCAGATCTGTTTCCACCCCTTTACCAGGGCCGACTGTGCTCAGGGAAACTCTGAAAGCACCACCTGTGCCAGGGACAGACACCCCTTGCAGGGTGAGCAGTATTGGCACTGGCTGCCTCTCAGACAGGGGGACACCTCTCCAGACCTCGAGATTTGCCAGGAAGAGGGTGGACCAGATGCCTCTAACCTCTTAGGGCAGGGGAAGGAGCTAGTTTTCTCTCTAGCTTAAACTCAACCATCTCATCAAAAGCAGGACCCATTCTCCATAACCCAGGCAAGGCGGGAGGCAGCCGTCCCCTAGCCCTGCAGTGGTGTACTCCCCAGATACTCTGTGGGAAGACGTATTCAAGGAGAGACCGAATAGGGAGACTGAGGCACAGACAAGTCAAGCCATTTGCCCCAAGGGGCAGAGCAGAGGCTCAGGAGGCAGGACTGTTCCTCAACCACCTCCTGTGGGTTTTGATGCCCTGTCTTTTGATGCCCTAGCTTAAACACATGCCCAGGCCCCCTGACCAAGTTCTCCCTCTGAAGCTTCTCGCTTCGAGCCTGGGGCCATTGGCAGCTTACATGCTCAGAGTGCTCTCAATCAATGCCACTGTGTCTCAAGACTCAGGTCCAAGACCGCTAGCCCTGAGAGGGCAGGGGCCACATCAGGCTTCTCACCATCGTACCCCTGGCCCAGAGCCTGGCTCACACTTGATGTTCAAGAATATGTGCTCAGCAAGTCACTGGACAAAATGAGGACACAGGAAGCCACAGCTCTTCTGGCCGAGTACACAGTGGGACTGCAGAACAGGCAACGGAACATGTAGTCACTACGAGATGACCTACACTTCCCTCCCCCCGCTTCTCCTCTGGCCCCTAGCCAGACAGGCTGAAGTACCCTCTCCTGGCACCGATGTTGGTTGTTTTGGGGTGGTTGCTTGAGCCCTGGATGGCAGGGAGTGCAGGGCAATAGTGCCCTCCTGCTGAGCTGGGTGGACTCTGGCACGGGCGCCATTGAAAATGGACTCTCCTCTCGCTGGACAGGCTGCCTCCCCAGCCCTAACGCTTCAACCCGCACATATCTCCAAGCACCTGCCGTCTTTGCTTGGGGTCAACTTGGTTCCTCAGGCCCAGGTTTGCTCTTGCCTGCCAAAAGGGCTGTGATGGCGTGGTGGTGTGGGCAGTCTCGTGATAGGGCTGCTGGAGGATGGCTCAGAGCCTGCAAGGACACGAACGAGGAGCAAAGACAGGCTGAGGAATCACCGCTTCCCAAGGCCCAGTGGTAGCAGAAGCCCTTCCCTGGTCATCAGTTGTGCAGCAGCCCTTCCAGAGGCAGAAGGATGGGTGCGATGACCTCTCACAGTCCTTCTTGCTCTAAGAGACTGTTTTCGGTATAACAAGTTCATTAGTGTGTATGGTGCAATATAGACTCAGGGCCTGAGAAACTGACTATCCTGCTCAGATCCATAGTGTTTTCTGGAAAGGCCAGTCCTGATTCAGTTCAGGGGCCTACTTCCTGGACATTCCCGTCAGGGTCCCTGGGCCTAGGCTGCAGGAATACCCAGCCGAGTACCGGCAAGTGTCAGAGGACAGCAGGGGAGGAGAGCCCTGAGTTCACTCCCAGCCCCCCGCTATTCACCCTGTCATCATGAGAGAGCTGCCTTTGGGCTTTCAGACAGCAAACTTGGCCAGGGCTGGGGCCAAAGGAAAGTTATTCATTCTCAGGTTCAAAAACAACATAATTGGCTCAACTCTAGGCTATGGTTTCTCACCTGCAGACAGAGTATGTGTATCTATAGGCCTGACCTTCACTGACTGGTTACTAAGTGACGCAAGCATTGCTAATACCTTTGTGGCTTAAACACATGGCAAGTGGTGCTTTAATAAAGTCTCTGAAGGACACGGCCCTCTTCCCGCCCAGGCCCCCTGGCAAGCAGCTGGAGGTTCAAATCAGAGGCTGTGCCTGTGGCACGTGGCCCATTACTAGGGTCACTTTCCCCCTCCTGAAACCGACACTGGCTGCAGCAACAGCTAAAGGGTGACTCTTAGGCTCAAGATCTCTCTCCTCTGAGGCTAGGTACCTTTGGTTTCAAAAGCGGATTAGGTGGGGTAGAAGGCAGCGCCTCGTCTCCGAACTGCAGGTCTGCGAGTGTCTCCATCTGGGGCAATGCGCTGCAGGGCATGTGTCAGAGTGGCCGCTTCTGGTTCTGCTGTGATGCTTGCATAGGCTGCCCGGTTCTCCTTGAGACAGACATTGCTGGAGGCTTCGAGGCTTGCAGGGAGGGCCTGGGAGCCTGGGAACTACAGGGACAGATCAGAGCTGCATAAGGCATAGGAAGAGCGCTGAGTCCTCCAGGCCAGGCTTCACGGCACTGTTAGTGCAGTGTCCCCACAGGGTCTCCTGATATGTAAATACCCTAAGGAAAGGACATACCGGCTCAGTCTTGGGGCGACAGGGCCCCACCCACACAGTTTCAACGTCATACAGAATTGACCGGAGAGATGAGACTTGCTAGAGATGCAAGGGGGAGCAGTGCTTTGCACCTCCAAACACACCAGCAAAGCTCTTTGCATCATGGGGTTCCGTCTCCTTGAGGGCAGCAGCATAGACCCCTGCCAGGTTGGGGGCACCCTCTACTCTGGATGCCGTGGGTGTCTTTTCTCCTACATCCCGGGTTTCGCTGACGGGGAGGAAGAAGTACAAACCCAGCCCTTTTCTTCTCTCTTTAGGTGAGCACAGCTCCCCAGGGACCAGATGCCTGATTTTCTTCTGCTTGAGGTACACGGTCACTGGAGTTGAAGTCCTTTCCATCAGTGCCCACGCCTGTTCCTCAAATTCCTTCGTCAGAGTCAGTGCAGCTCTTGTCTTAGACACTCTGGAGGAAGGGGCAGGGTCAGAGCGAGGAGCAAGAGGTAAGCCCACCTCCCAAATAAGCCAGAGCAAGGCAAGGAGGCCTGTCCACCCTATCCCTGCCAAAAATACTGTCATTTTCCAGAAAGAAGCGAAGCCCAGCTCAGCAACTGACAAGGCCGAGGTGGGTGGGTTGCGGGCATAGGGAGGCATATGGCGAGAAAGGCATCCTTCGGAAATACATTGGCCCGGCGCGGTTTGAATACTGCAGCTTTTTTGTATCTTCTTTTATGGACCAATCCTTTTTGCCTATCTTTGCAGTTTTCTAGGAGAGAATCCACCTATTCTTTCTTTTTCCAGGGACACTTCTTCAAAAGGAAAAAAAATGGAGACATGGGGTCTGGAGGAGAAGATGCACAAAGCGAAAGTAAAGACAATGAAAAGTACCAGAACCAACAGAAACCGGTGAGTGTGTCCGAGGTGAAGGGCGGGCAGTTGGGTGGAAGGCTCAGGGTGGCTGTGAGGCTGAGCAAGGGGCCAGGGCTCCCTCCAGCTGCGCTCAGCCACGGCTGTAGCTCTCCCACACAGGTGGCACCCGGGCGTGTGTGGGGTCATTGGGAAGGGACTTGTGGTTGGCTAGGTGGTCGGTGGTCCTCACGGCTTGGCAGACCCCCATGTTGTACCCTTGTCCCTGAAGGTGGTGGTGGCTTCATCTCCCCCTCTCCCCTCCTCCCACTTGCAAAACAGTGGCTGTGCCTGGGGGTTCCGTTAGGCCAGAGAGTAGATGGCGTTGACTGGTGACGTGGCCTCTGAGCTTTCGTTGCCCTCGGTTTCCTCCTTGTCCTTTTTGACTGTGTACTGGCCAATGAAGGAGCCGTCCTCGTTGAACTGGCCCTCGCCGCCCTCGCCATAGTCCACCAGGCTGTCGTCACTCTCCTGCTGCTTGATGGTGCCGTCCAGCGATGTCTGGCTGCCCTGCAGGGGCTTGTTGTCTTCGTCACTGGCCAGAGAGAGACAGAGGATCAGGGCTCAGCCCAGCCCAGGGCTGCCCAAGCCCAAGTGGGGTGGGGCAGGGCTGCTGGCCTCTTGCCAAGCACACGCGCTACATGTGACACACAGCTCAGAGAGGACAGCACCTCAGGGACCCCCCAGTCCAGCCCTCCCCTGTCCATCCAGTTCTACAGAAGGGAAACCGTGGCCTAGAAAGGACAAGCAGCTTCTCCAAGGTGAGGTGCAGAGCTGGTGCAGAGCTGAGATGGAAGCCCATACTGCGGACTCCTGATCTGGGGCGCCGTCCATGAGGCCAGGCTACCCTCTGGGGTGGGAACGGGCAGAAGACGGCCACCTCGGATGAGGCAGAGCCCAATGCTGTGAGACCAGGCAGGACGGGAAGAGTCAGGACGGGAGTTCTAGTTACTGTGTGGTTCTGTGGTCTTGGGACAGCCTTTCTTCTTACTGAGCCTTAGTCTCCCCATCAGGAGGGGCTGGACTAGTTTGACTCTCAGTGATCTGTGACTCTGGAAAGGCTCTGCCTTTGACAAAAAGCCGGGGTTTGCTTCTTAAAGAAACAAATCTTTGCCTGGCCTCTCCCTTTCTCTAAGTGTCGCTTCTCTCAGCTTTCTCTCAGGTTTACAAACAGATGCTGTTGCTTCTGGGCTAGCAAGTGAAAGAGGGTGTGAGGAAAGCGGGGCATGCAGGTAATAGATGCCAGCAACTTGAAACACACAGCAAGGCACCGAGGATCCCGCCCAGCTCCTGAGGCCCCAGCTCCTGCCCTGAGGCTCCTCCTGTGCAAAGAGAACTTGGAGGCTGACGGTTAAAGTGGCAGCTACAGTTGTGCCTGCTGTGGCCCCAGGAAGTAAGACACCCCAGAGGCAGGGCGTCCGTCTGCTCAAGCACCACATCCCTTCCCCTGGCTGGAAAACTCTTTGCCCTTTAGGCTTGGAGGGGGGCCCAGGTGCTGCTGGCTGCACTTCAGAAGGGAGCCGAGTTCCCAGGCAGGAGGCAGTGGGATCTGGGACCACTGTGGTGCCTGTGGTCTGAGCAGACACTCTCAGCCCCCTCCCCTGCCCCAGGCCACACTCAGTCCTTCCTGGGCATGCTGAAAACAACAGGCTGAGCTGCCATCATACTGAAGAGTTGTTCTAGCTTCTAACAGCAGCGCTGGGCAAAGACAGCTGTCAGGGGAGGGCCCTGAGCCAGAGCCTGAGAGGAACTGGGCCTCAGTAGATGGAAAGCTATTAGCGACCCCCCGCCCCCTGCAACACACATGTGCTTAGTGAACGCACCCATTAACACAGCCTAACTGTGTTCCCACGGCAGTGCTATAGGAGAGATGCCCTAAGTGAGGGAAGTTGGTCTCCAGGGTTTGTACCGGAAGTGGAACTCACCTTTTGAGAACTAGCAGAATCTTTTTTTTTCCCCTTAAATTTGAAGAACTAGAAGGGCACTCAGAGAACTAGCAGATTCCAATTACCAGGCTCCTCACCCCACCTGCCTGCTGGGCTTCTTCACAGGCACTGCCTCCCCAGGGTCCTCCGCCTACTGGAGGGGGCTGCAGTGTGTCAGGTTTTTGAGGGGAAAGAGGCTCTAGATCTGGAAAGCACAGACCTTTCCTAAGGGAAGCTTGAGAGAGATCGGAATGACTGGAGAACCCGGGTCTAGCCCCCTGTCAGGCTACCTTCCAAGAGACCTTAGAGGACCAGGTGGACAGATGAGGGAGAGGGAAGCAGAGCGCCCCACTGGAGAGGCTTTGGGAGCTAAGCCAGAGTGGAGCGAGGGTGAGCCATGCTCCTTCGTGCCTCCAGGCCTGTCCCACCTAGAAACTTGGTTTTTCCTCTGATGTATTACTTTTAGTCCTTCCCCCGTTTAGGGCTCTTGGACTCATCCCAGTAGGGGCTCTAGGATGGATCCTCCCTCTCCACCCCTAAGGGAGCAGCTTCTCACAGCACAGGCTGCCTGGCCCTGTATTTGAGGAGGTCTTCACCTTTCTGTGGCCACTCTAGGGCCTGTTACTGATGACCAGGGAACAGCTCTCAGCTTGTGAGGGTGCTGGCCCCCACCAGCGGTGGTGAGGATAGCAGGGGAGGGGCCTCTCATGCTTGCCCTTTGGGAAGCTCATGGAAACAATGTGATTGGATGGACAGACATGGTCCTTAAGCCGCCAGACAGACTCTTGTGTGGGCAGTGGCTCTGCCGCCCATTGATCTGAGCTTGCTTGCCAGGCTGCTGATGGACAGTGGCGGAGGCCCAGGATGGGATAAGAAGAGGTCAGAGGAGGACAGGGGTGACCTAGCCCGAGAGTGACTGGGTGGAGTGGGGAAGGAGGGCTCTGATGAGAGCATTTCCCTCCCACCGCACTTGGTCGATAAATGAGACATCCATGACCTACTCTGCAATGTTCCTTAACTCAAAATACACTTGCCATCAAAAAGGACAAATTGCCACTTTGTTAAGCCAGATACAACGGCCTGTCCAGATCTGAGAAAGAGCATGGGCACAGGACAATGGCAGTAGCTGGAAGCTGGGCCCCTGGCCTCCACAGCTCTGCCACTAGCTCACTAGGTGGCGAGTGTGAGAGTCTTGGGCAGGTCCCTTCTAGGTCTGTGCTGCGGTCCTCTCATTTGGGACAAGCTGGACCGTATGCCTCTCCAAGGCCCATTTCAGGCTAGAGGCGAGATAATTGTTTAAGTTCATGAGGAAAAGGCCTAGAACACCCCACCACACCACCACCACTACCCTTCATCCCTCACCTAGTCCATGCTTTAGGACAATTCAGTTTCCCAGTTAATTATCTTCAGGGTTGGGGTGGGGCATAGGCAGAGAGGAAGCTGAGAGCTGAGCTCATGTCATAACAGAGGACCAAGGGCTCGTTTTCAGAGTAAAAATGTGGAAGCACATATGAGGAGCTTAATAAATCTGAGTTATGCAGCAGAGTGAAGAATGCTGTTCGTGGAATGAGTGTGTTCGGCAGTGTGGGGGCAGCCTTGTCCGGCACTATGAGGACGAGCAGGTGCTGTCAGAGAGGCAGAGGTGACAGCCCAATGGGTGACGGGCAATCAATACAGTGACTCTCAGCCAAGCCAAGCTGCTCTGAGGGGACGTCCCTGTCTCAGGGGCAGTGGGGACAGACAAACCAGCTGACAGGAGGCACTGTGTGAGAACAGGAGCCAAGGAGATCACGCACCTGTAGTCAAATGAACCATCCTCTTCTTTGGGGTCTTCAGGGCCAAGGGGGACGTCTTTCTTTTCTCGCACTTAGTCAGTAAGAGAAGCAAAGACTTAGACATGGTGACCTGCTCTGCAGAGCCCTGATCAGACAGCCAGAAGACACTGCCTTTGGGTTCAGCAACACTCTCCCTTTCAAAAAGGCACCATCGCCGTTTCCCTTGTTCTTCCTTCCTACATTTAATCAGTTTCTAGGCTGATTCTGCCTCTTCCTCATCCTCATCGCCAGCAGTTTCCTTATATCTCCCCTGACAACTACCTTCTTCTCCCACCTGGCTCCCCATACCTCTCCATGAAGTCTTCCCCAAACACTGAATGGATGCGATCCTTTCTTTGGCACGTTTCTTATTCTGCTGTGTTACAATTATTTGCGTGTGTTTCTCATGCCTGTGACAGAGTGCCAGTTCCTTGTTTGAGGCTGGGGAACTACCTGTTTCGTCAAAGCTCCTAGCTGAGTGCCCATCCACACCTCTGGCATGGAAAGTGCTCACGTAGCTGTGACCTCACTTGTTTCCAGGGCTCCCTTTTCCCACGCCTCCTCTGCGATTTATAAACATCCGTCAAGGCCCTGTCTTGTGCTGTGATCTTCCTTCTGAGCCAGCTGAAATGTCCTTGAGGGAGGGATCATCTTTTCTTCTGGAACCCTTGGCACCCAGCACAAAGCCACAGCAGACACTTCATGAACGACTCTTTATACATACTTTTTAAGGAACAGGGCAGGATAATAACCCCCATTTTAGGGGAGAGAAACAGGCTTTGAGAGGCGAGGAACACATCACATAACTAATTGGTAATGAGTGTGAGTGAGTGCGTTGGGCATTATTGGGGCGGCCTGCACAATGAGGACGAGCGGGTGCTGTCAGAGAGGCAGAGGTGACAGTCCAATGGGTGATGGGCGATCAATTCAGTCGCCTCTTAGCCAAGCCGAGCTGCTCTGAGAGGAGGTCAGACTGAATAAGTCTAGAGTAAAGACTAGGGCCCAGGCCTCATGGCTCCTGGTTTACTCGTCTTTCTAATGGACTAGGGGTTTACCCTAGTAGTGGAGGGAAGCAGCGTAGCTGTAAGGAGGACTGGAATGAGACACTTTCTAATTGGTAAAGGAAGGCTCAGAGTTCATCCGATGAGTCCCTCAGGTGTTCCAGTACCCCCTGGGACAGGCGGGTAAACTCAGTAAGGCCACCTTTCTCCCTAACTCTGGCCTTCTCTCTAACAGAAGAAAAACGATCCCTACACAGCACAACAACATGAAAGAAAACATCATTTACCAAAACAAGAGTGATAATTCCCTGCCCTCGCTCACAGGTGCTCCCCTCACTTCAAGGAGAGGCATAATTCTTTAGAATCCTAGGGTCTTGAGGGTAAGTGGGCAGGGAAAGAAAATAAAAATCTCTTCTCCCTCTGAGTTTTAGAGGGGGCCTGGAGGAGGACTTATCCATAGAGATGGAGAGAAGCAGGCATTTGGGGTGCATGGGGTGTTTGGTGGGCGGGCTTTGGGGGGCAGGGAGCGATCTCGTTTTGCAGTCCAGCAGGATTTTCACCGTCAGGGTCATCCATTATCTTGTCTCCTGTTACTCCGCCCATCCCATTGCAGACGGATGGCTTTCTTGCCCCTGTTTGAACAACAATCAATATTTCCAGAAACGAGAATGCTAGAGGTCTTTGTCCTTGACCTTGGTTTGTCTGGGCTGGAGGACCTTGAGGCCCACGGAAGAGAAATGTGTCTTTGAGATTCTAGGAAAGCCCAGAGCCCTTTAAGGGTGGGTCCCTGTCAGTGCATCCCGCCCCTCAGCCTCTGTCTGCGCCTCACGTGGGAGCTTCTATCCTCCGTTCGGGTGTCCGTGATGCAGTCCTAGTCACGCCAAGAGCCAGCGCTGCGGCCTCTCTCATGGGTGTGCTTCTGTCCAGATCCCTCCTCACAACATTTTCTTTCTCATGGTTAGAGAAAATGCCTCTTTTCCTTCCTCCTTTTCTGAGACAGGATTCTAATGAGATTCAGACTTAAAAAAGCCATTTTACTGAGCAGATGGATGGTGAGTCAAGGAGGGGAAGGTCATTCTTAATAGGGGCCAGGGTTGCTTCCATCCTCTCTAGAGCTGCCTGGACTGCTCCATCCACCCACTTCAAGCAAACTTAATTAACTCAAGTGCTTTCTGGCAGCTCTAAGATGCACAGAACAGGCAAGAGGACTGTTTTTCCAAGTTTGGCAGGGGTTGGGCTCACTGAGAGAACAGAGCACCCCGGATACGGCAGGGGACCTGGTGACTCACAGGGAAGCTTGCCGGCCAGTCCCTTAAGCCCACTCCTCTGACGCATCTTACCTGGGTACTTGCCACCGCGACTCCTCTTGATGAAACAGACAATGAGCAGGATCAGCACCAGGAGTGCGATGGCACACATAAGCCCAATGAACCAGCCCTGGGTGGCGATGTCGGCCTGGTTGTTGGTGTAAGCTGGGGGGAGGCAGAAGCAGACGTGAAAGATTTTGCATAGGAGAAGGCGAAGAGGGAGAGGTGAGGGAAGAACTTCAGCTACTTCGCATCGATGCTCCTCCTGGTGCCTCCCGCTACCGTAACCTAGCAGCCCTCTGGCCCAGACTACGCTGCTACAGGGACAAAGAAAATAATTAAGGAGAGTCCAAGGGTCAGAAAGGAAGCAGAGGAAGGGGGAACAGGAGCAGAATAAGCAGCAGAAGGCTGACAGATCCTGTAGGAAGGGGGAGTTTCCTGAGGAGGAGGCATGGCATTCTTATAAACCACGTCTTGGTCACAGCCTGGCGGGGATTGAGGGAAGGTCAGGGATTGGCCACACAGGGACGATTTCCCATGAATGAGCCTGGGGTGAGAAAACGGAGCCTGTATGCTACCAATCAGGGAAGGTGGCCATGGTCACGTTGCAAACACCTGTGAGAAGAACACCTTCGAGGGCCAGCATGGACCCTGAGTATCGCCTTTGCCCACCATCATGGCCCTGAAGCCACCAGGCTTCCCGGGACTATGTCTGGGCAGAGTACAGTTCCAGGATGCCCTTGCTTCCTCATGACTCCCCAGCTGGACTGTGCGCTCCGACATAAAGACAACCCCAGGTGGCTGGCGGCCACGTTGGGGCTGGAGCCATGCCTTCAGCACACCCCATGACAATTCGGACCTCATCCACGTGCAGAAGACCACCCCTGGCGCCCCCCCTCGCCCCCCGCTTGCCACCCAGTGGCTGTGACAAGCCGACTTGCCCCCTCCCTCCCTCCGACAGTGAGTCCCTCTCTGTCCCTGCCTGGAATGTGTGGAGACCTGTCTCCACGTGGCTAGACCACTGTGTGATTCGTGGGGCCTGTAGATTGGCCTAGAGGACAGGTGCTCAGGCATCATCTGACGGTGCCCTAGATGACACAATGGCTGGGGTTAGGGCTTGGGAAGGGGTGTGGGCTGGGTAGGACCCACTCGCCCTCTCCTTTCTAGGGACTAGAGAGCGAAAGCAACACCTCCTGAGAATGCAGCCCGCCCTGAAAACCAAGACCTGGAGGAGAGGAAGGATCAGAGGACCGGAACAGACACAGAGTAACTGGAGCCAGCTGAGCGGGCTGAGCAGTCTCTGCGGGAGCCAGACTGCGGCCAGAGCTGAGAGCCCGAGGAGCCCCGGGCACCCGGCCTCCTTCAGGGGAACAGAGGGGTGGCCCCCAGGGCCTTTACTGCGCTTCGGCGTCTTCATCATGTGCTAGTTTGTGCAGCAGGTACCTGGACCCGTTCCCACTCTTTGCTCCTCTTGGGCAGAGAAACTGTCTTTACAACCCTCCAGCCAAGAACGTGGCACCAAGAGGGTCTCAATACATGGTGAAGACTGATGAACAAGTGCGCCAAGCCCTGGCTGCCTGGCGTGAAAAGCAGCTGAGTTCCACAGAACATGGCTGCGATCACCCTGATCTACGAATGCTGTTGGGGAAAGTCCATCCCTGCTTCCACTCCTGTTCCTGCAGGCCATACCCACACAGTGTCAGGGGCATCTTCCCCGAACCCCAGATAAGGTCAAATCACTTTCTGCTTTAACCTCTAATGCATGTCATTACTATTGGGAAAAGCCTACATTCCTTATCCTAACCCATCGAGTCCCAGTAGAGCTGGCCCTGGCCACCTCGCTAGTCCTATCTCCTACCCCTCTTTATAGTCCGGCTACACTGGCCGCTCTCATTCCTGCCTCAGGGCCTTTGCATCCGCTGCTCTTTCATCAGATGACTGTCTCAGCAAATGTCATCTTCTCAGGAAGGCCTTCCTGGACCTTCCCAGCGGAAGCGAAGGCCCCCTCCCCGACACAGCCACTCTCTGCGGGGGTCTAACTTACCTTTTGCACAGCACTCGTAACCATTTAATGGACATATAGTAGTCCGGGGGGGGGGTACATTCTAACACCCCCCAGTGGATGCCTGAATCCATTGATAATCCTGAACTCTATATAGATACTAAAGTTTAATTTACACATTATGCATAAGAGAGTAACAATAAAAAAGAACAATACAATAATATACTATAATAAAAGTTATGTGAATGTGGTCTCTGCTTCTCTCAAAACATCTTACTGTACTGCACTCACCTTTCTTGTGACGATGTGAGATGATGGGGCCTGTGTGATGAGAGGAAGTGAGGTGAATGGTGTAGCGTTGTGACTTAGTGTTAGGCTCTACTGACCGTCTGAGTCTGATGACACATCAAAAGGAGGATCATCTGCTTTGGGTGATCCTGGATCCCTGAGCCATGATGGCGATGGCTGGTTGTCAGGAGCAGATGATATTGATGGTTGGGGAAATTGAACATTTTCGGATTGTGGTTGACCGTGCATAAGGGGAGACTAATGTATTGCCACTACTGACGGTTTACACTTATAAGTGCTTCCCAGGCTCTGCTCTGAGTACTTCCCCACACATACTCTAATTTAGCTGTTACGACAACCCCATAAAGTGGGTTATTATCATCCTTATTTTATAGATGAGGAAACGGAGCCACTGAGGTTAAGTGATTTACTCAAGGTCACAGAGCTATGAAGCGGTAGAGATGTGACCTGGCTCCAGAGTCTGTGCTCTTGACCACTCTGGGTCCTTCTGCCCAGAAAATAAGCTCCTTGGAGTGACTGTCAGGTTCACGTTCTCTCCTCAGTGCTGGGACAGAGCCTTACGCATAGGAGGCACGCGGCTCACATCTGCTCCACTTTCTTCCCTGAGTTCAGTCCACTCACCCTCTTGGCCTGATGGGGCCTCTGCTAACCTTACACTCCGCACTGTCCTCCCTTTTGGGTCACTCATTCCAGCATCGCCTCAATTCCCAGCTGTGGGTCTCCTTGGCAATTACTGCATTTTTCTGCTCTTGCCATGAGCACTGCTGGAGGAAGACGCAGACCCGGGCCCATCGCACATTCACTGTATACTTCAGCTGGGCCTCACTGCCTCCTGGCAATCCTTGTGCTCATCTCTTACTGTCCTTCCCGAACTGTTCCTCCCACATTACTCCCTCTCTGCCCTCATCAGCGTTGACCCCACCTCCCCCGCTCTGGAGACCAGTGAAGCAGCGAAACCTCACAGCCTCTACGACAATCCCTGGTCCCAGGTCAGGCGGGCTTCCTCTCCCCGCTCTGAAGTTACTCCTCCCTCAGCTGTGGGACCCAGGCCGCACTTCCTTGGCAGCTCAATCCTGAAAGGATCTCTGAAAACCAGTGTTTTCAAATTCTTTTTCTTTGCTTTCTCTTCCCTTCTGCTGTTAAAATACGTTGACGCTTCCTGTGCCTTAAACCCCCCTGAGGAACCTGCCAGACTTTCAGCCCTAGCTCATGCACTGTCCTCTTACAGGCAAACGCCTTGATCTTCCATTGTCTCCAGTTCATGCCAACTCCTTTCTCCGCTCCCGACAAGCTGACTTCAAGCCCCTCTATATGCTTCATCTACCATCGTGAAGTGGGTCTTTCCCCAACCTACCTCTGCATCCTTGACTCTTACCTTCACTGCCCTCCAGTCCTGACTTTCCAAATGGCAATCCTTCTATTCATCTCTCACTGTCCCTGCAGCCAGTTCCACACGGTAAGCCCAGCGCTTCCTCCAAACAGCTCTTCGGATGGTCCATCTGCTTGAAATTCAACATGTGTCTTCCTGCCCCCTCCCTGTTCCCTGCTTCTGCCAGTGGCTTCGCTGTTCTCCCCATCTCTAAGGGCTATTATTTCTCCTTCCAGAATTCTCATATTCACCTCACTGCTCCGTTCCAGAGGGGTCCCCTCCCTCTCTGCCTCTCAGCTCCAGAGAATAAAATGACACACTAGATTGTAATGGTCCTAGGACACTTCCATCCGGCCTGGCCTTCCAGGTGTGCAGGTCCTCCCCTCCCTGCGTCCTTCCCACTCTGCACAAGGCGCCTGCACTGCCGCCCCTCTGGCTCTCCCTTTGCGTGGTCTGGCCTCTTTCCTGAATCTCCTGTTCCTCCAGCTCACACCAATCTCTGAACTCCAATTTCACCCTCGTTTACTCTGGGCAATGCAACATTTAATTGCTGTTTCCCAGATCCTGATTTCTAATGACACTATGAAAGGCTTGAGAACAGGGGATTCTTTGAGCCCCCTAGTATTTTGCATGATGCTGGCCACGTAACAAGTAGTCAGTGACTACTTATTGATTAATGACCAACTTAATCCTAATATAACATGGTTAACCTGGAATACCGTAGTAGTTTCTTCTCTGACCCCAGCTAGGGGTCACAGGGATATTGCCTGTGAGCTATGCCTAGATACTGGGATGAAGGAATCACTTGTGTTTGGATGGAGATTCCCACCTCTTGCAGAGACTCTGGTTTGCATGTCTGCAGAGGCCTGTTTGCTCCACCATCTTCCTGATGCTCGTTCTGATACACCCTGACGGCGTCTCTGTGAGACCCTCTTTCTCTTGGGAGGAAAAGTCAATTCCAGGGAGAGAGTCCATATGGGCAATTTAGAAAGCAAATGTAGCTTTTCATTCTTGACTTCAACATATAAAATGCAAATGTTACTTTCAGTCCTTACTAAAGCGGTCAAAGGATTTTCTGTGAAGTTTGGACATGAAAGGCTGTTCAAAACCAAGTGCATTTTGTAACTATATGTGGTGATGGATGTTAACTAAACTTACTGTGGTGATCATTTTGCAATATATACATATATCAAATCATTATGTTGTACACCTAAAACTAACCAATGTTATATGTCAATATCTCACTTAAAAAAAAAACAAAACTAATACAAAGTGGGATCTGGGGTAAGGTGGACTCAACCTGGCAAACACAGGCCCCAATGCTTCTTACTCTGGACTACAGGCCATATTTTGTGTGCCTTCCACACCACACCCTACGACCCCACTCAGAAATGGGCAAGTCACACTCAAGGGAGACCGTTCCATGACTCTTAACTAATTGGGAGGAATTTGATTTGGCTATGGAAGAGAGGCTAGTCATTTAAGGTCGGCAAGAGAATTATATTTCAGAAGTAAGGACAGATGAACAAATATGACAGGAATGAACTTTCTTCAAATGCAGTTTGGCTGGGCTGATCTCACTGAAGCATCAATGTACACCTCTCTATTCTCACCTCAACCCATCCCGGGTTTCTCCCAACACAGCAATAAGAGATGGACTACAGTTCAGTTCCCTAATGTCCTTCCTTTCCACTTCCTGAGGTCTGATGTGGGTTGTCTGTCTTGCTGGCCCACTGTCAGCATCCACCATTGCCGCCGCCTCACCCCATGCCACCCACTCAGGATGGAAGAGCCGACGGGCCTTTTGGAGTCCGGAGCTATGTTTTTGTAGCCCCTTGGGCCTCTTTGGCTTCACAAGCTTCAAGGAGGTGATTTACTTCCCACGTGGGATCTTTCTGCTGAGGACCAGGGAGCCCGTTAGCTTTCCTAGTGGTTTTCTTCCACTTCCTTCCTAAACCACTGCAGCATGTTTGAGTCTGGGGACTAAAGCAATAGCCTGTGGCTGCCTGAATGACCAGTGGTCAGGTCCAGAGATGCTCACACACTCTTGCTTTGATGAGACACAGAGACACAGGGACAGTGGGAACTTGCTCTGGAGTCTAACCATAGGAAACACTGTGTATTTTCGAAGCGTCCGAACACACTCTCACACGCACACACGAACTTCAGAAAGTGACAATATTTTTTTTCTTCCCTATGTGGTTTGCACATAGTAATTTCCAGACTGCTAGGGAGGTAAGTGAGCATTACGTGCTTGGAGTTAGGGTCCTAAACCTGACCACTTTGGCTTGCAATGGGAGGATTCAGAAGAACTTCTAAGTGCCAAGTGCCTCACAGCTATGAAAGCAAGCTATCAGCATCAGCCTCTGCACAAAGAAAAACGAACATTTGAGTCAGGGCTCAGAAGTATATTATCAGTCCTCATCGTTTTTTTCTGTCCTATGTGTTTAATATCACAAAGCAGATTGGGACATCCCTGAGGGCAGACGCTGGTCCTTTTCTCTCTGGCCCTTTCTCTCCAACCCTCACCCACAGCCCCAGGCCTTAGCACTGGGAGAAGTCTCACTCTGAAGCCGGCGGTGCTGGCTTCTGCATCATTCCTCTATCTCATCTTTGCTTCCTGCCTCTGCGCTGGACTCAAGTTTGTAATGAAGCAACAGCAAAGTACGTATGCACTGGTGAACAACAGCTTGGGACCCCGACTGGGTCAGGCAGAGTCCAGCCACCTGCTCTACTTGGTCAACTGTCCAGTTCCCTTGCCTGGCTCCCAGGACAGCCTGGCCACTCACAGACATCCTGCCTGAGTTGGCCTGGCTCCCTTCAAGCAGGCAGCTGGGCTCTCAGACTCCCTGAGTGTTAATGGCACGGACATATGCAGGATAGGCAGAGACACAGAGAGGAGGACAAGATGCTCTGATCAGGAGGGACCAGGCTAGAAGGGGTACAGCGACACATTTATACAGATGGGCAGTATGCTCAAGATGCAAGTGACCGGGATTGGCTTTACCAGGCTAGGCGCAGGAAGAGTAATATTTAAGTCAATGTTCAGAAGTTCATGTAAATCCTTGTGGTTTTTATTATCTCTATCCTTGTGTCTACCAACCTGCATCTGATTAAGATATCCCTGGGGGGCAGGCACTGGTCCTGTTCTCTCGCACTCTCGTCCCCCACTCTCACCCTTAACCCCAGGGCTTAGCATACCACCTGCCTGTCTGATTTCAAAGATATTCAGAAAGAGACAAGCAAGTGCCCTGTGTCTGCAGATTGCCAGCCACCCTGTCTAGCAGAGATTTCTGAATGTTGCACCCTTTACTGAGCCTTAGTTGGCCTGCTCATTTACAACAAGGTGCCTCTCCATCCACAGCTGAAGCCCCTTTTGAGCCAGAACTATTCCAATACAAGAGCTTCTTCCCCTCTCCCAGCAAGAAAAAAAATGTCAATGACTTTTAAGCCACGATAAACTTAGGACGAAAATTAAAACAAATCCCAAACAACTCGCAATATTTAAACAACAGATGACAACGCCAAGGCAGTGACATACGTGCTGATTCTTGGTTTGGTTTCGGGAAGATTTCTGGGTCAAGGCCCTTGGATGTTCCTATTCCCTCATCCTACAGGCAGGAAGCCAGGCCCAGTGCTCACGGGGCAGGCTCATCGCAACTCCAGCGGCCCCCAGACCCACCCGCAGAGACCAAGCCCTTCTATCTTGAGTTTGGGGAGGGGCGGGGCCTGGCGGTCTTCTGGTCCTCGTTCTGTAACCCCTGTTTCCCTCTGATTCCCCCACTTGTCCCCGCAGGGTCAGAAGTATGGTTTCCTCTCCCCTGCGCATGCACTTCTGGCTCCTCGTCTCCCCGGGAGCCGCAAAGTGTAAGAGCTGAGACGCGCCATGCAAGGTGGGGCACGGGTGGGGAGGGGTCTTCTTTCTGAGAGGAGACAAGCAGGAAGCTGAGGATGAGAATGAAATGCCCATGCTTGTGGGGATGGCCGGGCCAGGTCCCCTCTCACCTGCACTGGTCATAAAGGTGATGATGGTGCTGCTGACGCCCTCGTTGTCCCGGGAATAAACTCGCAACGTGTATGTCATCCCGGGATAGAGGTCTGTCAGCTGTATAGGCTGGGCCTGGGCCTTAACAGGGACAGTTTTTTTCGTATGGTTGCCTGGGGAACAGAAACCTCGGTCAGCCTGGGGCCAGGCATGAGGAGCTAGAGAGGCAGCGTTCAGGCTCCTGCCACCTGTCCAAGGTTGAAGCATGGGGGAAGGGGCCTGGGGACTGCGGGGCCAGGCCACTGCACAGAGCAGGTCACCAGGCCGCTCCACCGCCGGCCCTGCCACGCGGCGCTGACTCTCCTGCATCACGGCCCTTCGGCTGAGGACGCCGCTCCCTTTCCCAGAGTCTTCTCCTCACCACTGCCTGAGAGCTAAACATGTCATGATCTCCTGCCTTACGCTTTCCGGGTGTCAGCCAATGCTCTATTATCCTGAAGAGGGTCAGAGGGCCAGTTACCATCTCTCATGGTAACGGAAGTGAGACAGGACCCTACTTCCCATCTCTGGCCATGTGGAAAATCCACACATCAGACGTGAGTGCCTGTGTGCCTGGGGTGTAGGGTGATTGGTGGCAGCAGGAAGCTGCAACAAGATTCTGGATTCCGTGGATGTGATTCCCCTCTGACAACAGAGAACTAAGGGTCGTCTTTGTTCTCTCCTCCGAGATATTCGGGTGGCCGGCCCAGTCGGGTTAGTTGGCGTACTTGCTTACAGTACATGCCAGAGGCCGCCAGGGTGGGCCTGACCCCGCAGAAGCAGGAGCCTTCACTCAGACAAGGCAGATATCCTGGCTACACTTCACAGGTTAACAGATCTGTTATCTGTGGTCTCAAGATCCAGCAAAATGTGAACAGCTCAGTTGAAGCCACCAGTTCTCTGTGGTCTGTGTCTCTGACTGTGGCCACTGGTGTCCCTCTGTGAGGAAAGCACAGTTCTACCCCAAGTCTGAACTGGCCCCACCTGTCTACTGGCGACATCAGAAAACATGGATTCTGAGTTAAGGAGATCCATGCAGAGGCGAATTTTGGTTCGTTCGGGGCCTATTTGGACCCATCTTGGACAGGAAGTAGATGGAGGGCCCCATTACCAGACCCTCCCCAGCACATACAACCCTAGACCTCACTAATGGCTGCAGAAGCCCCTTCCTTCTCCTTGGGCCTGCTCCTCCCACCTCACTGCCATCTGAGCACATATCGATTTCATTAAGTCATAATTAAGCTGGGCTAAAAGGCCTCTCTGGGCCTGGGGGAGTTCACAGGATCTCTTTAATGGCATCTACGCAGCCCGCTGCAGCTGCCGCCGCCACGGCCACCGCCACCACCCCGCACAGCAATGCTTACTGTCAATGTACTCAACCACAAAGTCAGTTCCGGGCCCGAAATTGTGCTTCCAGGTGATGTTGGCCCATTTACTGTTGGGGAGCACTGTGACGTTCCATATGGACTGCTCGTCGGGGGCTGGTGGATGGGTTAGAAGAGGAGTTAGTGGTGAGGAGGGAGGAGGCTCTGGAGAAGACAGATAGACGGACACATGTAGGAGGCCAGGAAAGGGTAGAGTCGGAGTTGGCTGTGCCAGGGCGACAGAGCTCCAAGCTGCAGCCTTGGCGGCCAGGCCAGAGGTCGCCGTCCAGGTACAAACATTCGCAGCTGGGAGGACTCGTACGCGAGGGAGGGCTGTTAACTGTCTGTGCGTCCACGTAGGTGGGTTGGGAGTTCTGATCTATAGCACTGGAGGCTCTAACCTGGGCTCAGTCCCTTTTTAGATCCCCACCATGGATGCGGACGATGCAGTTAAAGGGGCCAGGAAAAAGCCCCATTGGCTCGCGTGCAGACGGGGGGAGAGCCCACCTCGTTCCCTTCAACTACAGACGTTCTACAGGAAAGAGAGAGGAGAGCTTTCAAAGCCACTTGACAGTCATGATGAGATTCGCAGGAAGGACAGGACCAAACATGGGAAAGCCTTTCTGGGCTCCTGAAACTGGAGGAAGAGGATAGTAACGAGACAGGTGACTGTGGTCTGAGGAGCCCCTGGAGTCACCCTTGGTCACTACAATCCTGCATTATGTGGAAAATAGCCTAAGTTCCCTCGTCTAAGGGAACTTAGGGCCTAGAACTCCAGGGTCCCAAGTAGAGACAGCACGAACCCTTCCTCTCTCTCTCATGGGCTAAGTGGGACCAAGAGAAATAACTCTTTCTTGACACCCACCCCTGAGTGGTCCGGACACCAGAAGCATCCTGTTCTGTTGGCTTCTCAGCACCACAGTCTTTGAGGCTTGATCTCCATGCAACACAGAAGACATTAATTATCTAGTTCCTACGAGCTGGGAGCTACTTTATCAAAGCCATTGTTCTGTCTGAAATCATAGCCTGTGGACAAGGGAATGGTGCTAATCTTCAAAAGTAATCATTTTTCAAGAGTCCCAGTAGTCTGATTACCCTATTTCCCAGCAAAGCCTTCATAGTGGAGTACTAGCGTGAGGCCTTGTATTTCAAAGACTTTACAAGTGTGGCTCCTGTATATTTTATTAGCATGCAAGGGAGCACTGTCACCAACTCACTTGTCAAAAATAAATGAATAGAGTACATTGGTGATACATTTATTCATTATCTATTTGACATGTGACTGAGTCTGCAGGCTGAGAAATGACAAAAGATCTGATCATAACTTCAAAAAAGTGCCTTCTTTACTACAATCCTGTCAGTTGTCAGTTGCCCCAGGTGAGTATAGCTCATGTTAGGTGAGAGACCAAGAAAGAGATTCCACTGATGGCACCACAGGGCCTTCTCCACGGGGGAGGCGGGGGGCGGAACGGGGCAGAAGGTAGGCTTCTTTACTTATCTGCCCAATGTTTCCATTGTATTGGCTGCTTTGGGCCACCTCAATCCCAGTTCTGGGGACACCCATGGCTCTTGCTAGTGGGAATGAATTAGTCATGATTAGGAGAGGTGAGTTTCCTCCTCTGCTCTGGCCTTTGGAAATAGCCTGAGAATTTGAGTTTAGACAGTTTGGCCACCAATACAACATTGACCCACATCTCACTGTCTGAAAGGTCAATGAGATTTGGGCTCTGTTAGAAAAGGTCAAACGATGGGAAACCGAAACGATTTAAAGGTGAGAGCGAAGGAAGGCATTGCCATAGAGAGAACAAGATGACGACCACTGGAGAGCTGAGAAGTTCAAAGAGAAGGACCAAGGAGAGCTACCGACGACTATACAGCAAAAAGGGTCAGTGAGACGGAGCACGGATTGTTCTGCCGAGTCCTAGAAGGTGGGAATTAGGGAAAATCCCTTGAAATCTGAAAAGTCCTATTTTACTCTGGAAAAAGTAAACTTAGAAAACATTTTATCCTAAGATACAAAACATGATAAAGATGAAAACTCATTCAATAAATCCTGGACATTAGAGCCATTCTGCTGCATTAAAGGCAGTCAGGATGTTTGAGGGGTGTCCCCAAGCTCGAATGATAAGGTCAGGGGCATGGCCAGGCCCTCCACCGTGTTCCCGCAGTCAGGACTTGCGAGAGGGAGTCCATGGGGCTAGACCCATGTGGCATCAAGGCCAGTCCTTGCAGAGGACAAGTAACTGCTAGGGAGCGAGATCCGCTCCCCTTCTCCATTCTTTGTGCATCTCTTCTGTGAACTCAGATCATTCAGGTAGGACACGAAGCCTCACTTTCATGCAAAAGATGCCTGACTGTGGGGTCCCAAAGACTATCCATCACCAAACCCTGTGGCAGCTTCTAATAGCCTAGCAGGTTTCTCCTTGGCCAACTTTTTCTTACTGTGCATGTTATTTAAATTCTAGCTATTGCACCTTTAAAGCAAATCAGTGTTTTCAAGGTCTGAGGAGCATGTCAGCTACGTATCATTTGTCTCCCCGTAGAGCTCACATCACTCCATGTGATTGACTTAAAGAAGCTGCTGGTGGATTAGGCCTCCATCCTCATTCAGGTGCTGAGAGAAGAGGGTGGAGTGGGAAACAGGTCTCAGAAGGAGAAAGGATTTGACCAGGAAACAGAGGGGCTGACAATTCCACAGCCGCTGGAGGAGGGTCCTGGGTGCTAACTGCCAGCCCTCAGGCAGCATCACGCTTATTTTACGGCTGGCCTGTGGCTTTGCAAGTTAGGCGCCCTCCCCTCCGTGGTAATAAAAGTGTCTAACGCTTGGTTCTTAGAAGTATTGCTGGATTCCTGAGGGGTCTCTTCATGCTGGAAGAACAGAGCTCCCTGGCCTGGCTGCATGATGTAGGGACAGCACAAATCCAGGCTCGGGCCAGCCCTGGGATCAATTCTTACCAGGGCTGGATGCGACATGGCTGGGGCAGGGAGACTTCTCAGGAGGGTTGTCCAATGTCAGGCGTCTTTCCTTTCCCACACTCTCTCCTTTCCAGAGTGCTCTGCCCTGAGCTGACTGTTCGGCATTTTGTTGGAGGAAGCCCTACCACGCGGGAGGAGCATGGCCCTCGGTTAAAGCACGGGGACCTGAGGCTAGAACAGGGAGGATGGAGCAGAGAACCATCCGCGGAGTGGGGGAGGGGGTACTGTGCTCCTAGTCTCACCAGACTGAGAATCCAGAGCAGAGACAAAGGGAGGCGCTGGTCGCCAGCATCGCAGACCCCCCTCCTGCCTGGGGAAGCCTGCGGGTGGAAGGGCGGGGAGATGGACAGCGGGCAGTACCGGATTCGTGAGTCTTAGTCCCGGAGGTGGGAGGCCTCTCCGTGGTGGTGGCGGCGGCCGTGGTTGTAGTAGTGGTGGCGATGGTGGAAGGTATGACAGTTGGGATGATGGGGACTGTTGTGGCTTCGGTGGTGGCAGCAGTGGCAGTAACATCAGTACTGCTCACAGTGCCCGTCGCACCCACTGTCGTTGGGGGCAATGTGGGAGGAGCTGAGAGGGAAATGTAAAACAGCCGAGTCTGGTTGGTTTGGCTGTCCCCAGCCTGGACACATGGCCCCACGTGCAAGACAGGCAGCCTGGTGACAAGACGGAGCCTAGTAATCAGCAGCCTCCCCAAGCACGATGGACGGGGTCAGGCAGCTCACGGTGAAAGGACACAACCATGGGACAGGAAGAGAATGAAGCCCTGTGTGCGTTTCATTTTCTTCTCATGGTCTGTGCGGCTCAAAGCATCCAGCATGCACCCAGCCAAGGGCGAGGATGAGAATGGGAAGGGACACGCACCAAACCTCTCAGACCCCAGGGACGACAGCATGGGGTCCCATGCCAAGTGCCACCCAGACACAAGCCAAGCAGTACCACTTGGGTCCAGCCCTGGAGCCCGGCCTTGGAGGTGGGCAGGCAACTGTGTCCCGTCCTATAGGAACACTGGGAAGCCTGCCATTGCCAACCATTCACCCCCAAACAACGCTTTGCTATGCCTGCTTGAGTTCTAACGCCACCCAAACCCAAGGACAGAGAGAGAACAATCCTCAATCCGGGGAACCAGACATTTTGCCTCTCCACCTCCCCTGCCGGCCCTCTCCATCTCTCAGGTCTCCTTGTTCACTCCCCTGCCTTTCCTCCCTTCTTCTCTGCGCAGTGAGGGTCCACCCCGGATTGCAGTAACTCCCTTTCTAGGACATTTGGAGTCCAGGAGCCCCGAGACCTTTCCCTCCACATTAGAATGGGCGAAGGGGCACCAATGGGATCATAGTGTGGCCTGTGCTTGTAGCACCATCTTCCCAGCGCACAGTAGGTGCAGAAATCCCAGGACACAAGTGAGATAGATGCCAGGCTTCCTTTTTGCATAAATCTTTGGGGGAGTTCAAATCTGTGCTAACGCTCACACCCTCTTCCATCCAAAGCTAGTTTTCCACATAGGTCAGCCCTTGGGCCAAGTCCATGTTTGCGACGGTGTTTCCATAAGCCCTCACGGAAGCTCACAGAGGGCTGCCCTGTTACTCTTTGGTTGTAATGCTGCTAAAGCTTGAGGGTATAGAAGAATGACGGGGCAAATCAGAGAGACAGAGCTACCTCTCCTCCCTGCGCTCTGTCTCCCGTGATCTGATCATGGTGTACTTGCTGAGGTCGATGCTAATGGGGCAGTAGGCAGGGATGTTAAGTCATAAGTAGGTAACACTAACTCCTAAGGAACAGCGACATCCCACCCTATCTCACATCTCCAGAAATTCAGGAAAATAATATCCCACCCCTCAGAAGGCGGCCAGGGCAGGGAGGGAGCCACAGGGAAAACTGCCAGAGAGCTTTTCTCAGAGGAGAATGAAGAGATCCTGAGCCTTCTCAGTAACAGCCTGATCAACAAAAGCGCTTTCATTCTTTGGGCCTCCAATCTTATAGAGTCCCTCACAGGGAGGGGCTGTTCCTGGGGTCCCTCCTGCTTCCCTGTTTGTAAGATCAGAGGTGCTGTGGGGCCTAAGGGGGTGGACCACAGAAGTCACACTGGGCGGCTGGCCCTGCCCCGCACATTCCGAAGATTCCTGGGGGGCAAGGTCAAAGTAGACAGCCCAGTATTCCCCAAGCTCCAGTCAGCTCACATAAATTAGGAGGGTGGGGGTGGGCTGGGGACAGTCTCTTTCTCACAGTCATTATTCAAGGGCGTGTTTAGTCCAAGGTGGTCCCAGGCCCGGGAGCTTCGGTGCTGTAAAAGCTCAGCATAAGGGCATCCATCTCCCCCACCCACCAAGGCAGACACACACACACAGGAAAAGCCTGAGAGAGCCACTGGCGAAGGGCAGCTCTCTTCCCAGCAGGGTCCCTGGGCGCTCCTTTGGCCGTGGACACACACGGGCCATAGACACACGACTAACTGCTCTGTGCTGCTGGCAGGAACCTCGAGAGGCCGTTTTGCCCAGCTAGGCCAGAACGGCTCTAATTTGGTTCCTTATCAAGACTGTATTTTCTAATAATTTCTGGCAAATGTAATGCTCACGGAACCTCCTGTTTCTATGATTATTTAAAAGGTGTCTTCAGAAAAACTAGCAAACTCTCATCCTGCTCTGTGTAGCACAGAGACCTGGGCTTCCCACATGCACAGTGGTGTTACATTTCCCAAGCTCCCTGTGTCGATGTCAATACTCCCCAAAGCTGTCCCCACACTCTTACGTGCCCCTCAGTCCCCCTACAAGCAGAGACACACACGCTCGCACTCACATAGCCAGGCTCACACACGCGTCCCTGTGTGCCCCAGCGAGCAGCCTCAGAAACAGAGATGCTGAGAGAGGCTGGGTTAGTTAGAGCGAGTCCTCCCTTGGCCTGCTGGTCAGAGATAAGAATGACAAACATCTTGAAGATGCTTCCACACTGCCTTGTCCCCTCCCTCTGATGGTCCCTTCTGCTGAGTATGACTGGAACAGTCTTAGGGTATTAGCGAGAGGAGACCAGGAGGGGGCTAAAAGGAATTGCTTGCTTCCCACGCATTACTGGAGGCTCCTTAGGGGATGCAACCTTAGCTGGCTGAGGTCACAGCTGGCAAATCGCCATTGTCTCTGACCACTCATTAGCTGTGTCTCTTGTCCCATGGCTGGATGCAGTTAAGAGACAGGGAGGGCAGAGGCCAGAAGGAGGGGCTCTGAGGGAAGGGACAGAGAGTCCGGTGGGTCTTAGAGGTGCATACAGGCAGGACGGGGAAAGTGTCCGGTGCTCAGGTATAAAGGGGCTCAGGTGATATCATGACCCGGGGTGGATTTGGGGTAGAGGACAGAAGGGGAATAAGACCCAGAAGTGGCCCCCCAATGTGGACAGATGCGTTGCTAGGATATTTCCTCCAGCCGCAGCAGCAACTGAAAGGCCGGAGAACCACCGTGGTCAGTGCTCGGTGGAGACCATCAGCCTAGCGACTGAGAGGAAGTGGGGCCCAGGGGAGGCCCAGAGCTGGAAGCACAGGAACCCGACTACTTAACGGGTGGCCCAATGCACACCGGAGGGTACCCGGCCACAGCCTGAGGTTTTTCACCAGAGTTTCGGGAACACCATGTAGATGAAATTGAGAAGCGGTGACACGAATCTCATTCATATGACTCTAGAACCTGCCATACATTTACAGAGCTGCCTACCAAACATTTACAGATCTGAGCTGAGTCAGAGATGAGGACAGCAGTTTCCAGACATTTCCAGGTGGAAGGTTCAGTCCAAGAATGCTCACATGGCATATGGACTGCCCTGGCCAAATCACAGATGGCCAGGACAGATGGGCAGCAGTCCCAAGAGACAGCAGTGACGGGTGCACGACAGGAATTATCTTCACTGGGTGACATACAAACAGATCAGTTTTGGGGAAAAATGCCCAGGTTTGGGGAGAGTGAGGGGGAAGGAAGCAGTGGGCAGGACGTCAAAAATGTGGAACCCGGGCTCCAACGCCTGCAGGTTTTGCAGAAGGTTCTCATGCATTTAAAGCTGAGAACAGCTGATGCTCTCAGCACATCTCGTTACAAACCGCAGTGCGCCTCTACCACCACGTCCCGCAGGAGCTGGAGCCCAGGCAACACTGGACGGACAGGCAGAGCCTCTGCGCTCATTCTGCATGCCGCGAGGAGCCTGGGTCTTCTCTAGACGGGAAGTACAAAGTGGGGCGTTTGGGATTATCACCATTTCCCTCGCAATTGCCACTCACGAGAGAGTGGCACAGACTGACATGGATGTCCACGGAGCCAGGCAGATGCCTTGCCACCAAACCCAGCAGTCTTGGGTCCCAGGATGCCAGAATGGGGGAGGCGGACTGGGAGCTGGGTCCCAGGATGCCAGAATGGGGGAGGCGGACTGGGAGCTGGGTCCCAGGATGCCAGAATGGGGGAGGCGGACTGGGAGCTGGGTCCCTTTCTGTGCTCCCCCTTCCACCTTCACTTTCTGTTCACCCTTAGCACCTGCCGGAACAATCCCAGAAGACACCTCTCTGCAAACTTGAATCAGGAAGTCAGGAGAACAACCCCCAGAGTGCAAAAACGGCTTTCTCCCCAGTGCCCAGGCTCAGGACACCTATCTCGTGTCCCAGCAGAGGTGTTCAGACCCTGTGGGGGAGGCACTGGGCCCCGTGGGCCTGGGCTACCTGGAGGTGGGAAGGACGGGAGAGCTAGGGGAGGGGAGGGCGGCAGCGCACCACCGACAGATCCGGCTGACAAAACAAATGCAAACCTAAGGAAGCAGGGTGTGCAACAGAAATAGAATAAACCTAAAATGGGGCTGGGAGGCTAAACGAGCGAAGGTGGGCAGGAAACTAAATCCGGCAAGGCGGCGTCCTCTTCATCGGCCAACCCTCAGATTCCTTGCCTGGGCCTCGATTCTCCCGCACCGCCCGGAGCCTGCGGAGGCTCTGGCGACCCCCTGCTCTGCAGGGCGGGGTCCCCTGCCCACTTTCTCCAGCTTGAGCACAGGCTTTCTGTGCCGAAGCACCCTTTTATGTTCCTCAAGCCCACAAATCAGGACTTGAGGGAGGAACTCAACAGGTCATCTTCTAAGCTGGGACCTGACTGCCCAACTCCTCACTTCTGTGCACCAAGCTCCCAGACCCGGAGAGTGGAGACTGTTCTTAATGCTGACGACTCTGAGAAGGGTGAGGGGATAATCAGCCCATGGTGCCCACTGAGACTCCAGGTCCTGGAGCACCTGACCTTACCCATGGACATGCTCACTCGTTCTCACTGACCAGAACCCATGGTATATGGCAGTGCTGGTGCCAGGCTCCCATGCAGCATGCAAGGCCAGCATGCAGAGCGTGCCCACCATAGGTCACCCTTTCAGGGGATGGCAGCCTGACCAGGAGACAGGAACCAGCTGCAACCACTCACGGGGCAGCATTCCTTCTCGGGGCCCAGTTGGTCACCCAAAGGCTGTGGCCCCTCTCCGTGCTCTGAGAAGTGAAGCCTAGACAAGGCCTAGGTGGCTCAAGGAGGTAATCACTCAGCTTCAGAGAAAGCTGCAGCTCCAGAGAACAGGTCTGGAGCCCATGTACGTGGGGCCCTTCTAGGCCATCCTCCTTCTCCATCGCAGGGCAAATAGTAAGCAGAGGGAGAATGTGTTCGATTCCGGTCCCGCCCTCTACACACATCCTCCTTGACGGTCTGGCTTCCCAACCACTGAAAGAGTGAGCCTGGAGCATGCTTTCACCCCGAGCCTCTCCCTCCTTCTCCGCCTTGGCTGGGCTCCACCTGCATCATCCCATGCCATGCCCATTACCTCTGCTGCTGGTACGGTACCTGCGGTTGGAGTAGCTTCAGAACACAGCACCCAAGATGACCAGAGAGAGGGAGAAAGGATGAGAGAAGGAAGAGAAAACAGAACACAGGTGAAACCACAGGACAAGCAAGTAGAGAAGGTTCTGGCTCAAACCTGACCCAGACAGTGTGGCCAGGTGCTGGCCATTGCCCTGAGGATGCCAACTGGTGTTTGATTTGTTTCCACAGAAAACTTTCCATCTGTGTCTTAGAGACCTTTCCAGTACACTCTTGATTCTACCTCCACTCAAGGATTATCTAGGAGGTGGCAGTGGGGACAGTCCACCTAGAGTGCTGCCTTCCTAGGTCTTTCACCCTCAGGAGAATGTCCGGTCCCGGCTGGGCTGGCCTTTAGGAAGCAGGCTGTGTGCTCCTCCATTATGCTAGTAATTGAGGGCATAAGGTGCGGGTGTAGGAGGACACCAACCCATCAAAAGAATGGTTCCTGTATCTTTGGGGGAAGATGATGGATATAGCTGGGGTGGATGCAGGGCGGGGCATATTGGCTGAATCCTCCCCACACCACTCAGCCCTGGAACTGTGACAGACTGGAGCCCTGAGGCCCTTTCTTTCCCACCAGTTGTACTTTATGAAATAAGAAACCTAACTGTGGACTCAGCCCTAAAAGGAATTCTTGAATTTGCTGCAAATCCCTAAGTTGAGAAGAAAGTCTTTGTCCTCTCGTCGCCTGGGGTTGCAGAACTTTCCCTGTGGTGGTCACTAGGGTTGGACAATGGGGCTTTGTTTATCTGATGTTTCTATATGGGGTGGGGATGGGGCAGGAGAAGGCGGTCTCTTTATGTGTCTCCTCACAGAGTTAAGTAATAAAGTGCATCGCCCTTGGTCCGGCCAGGCTCTTGGAAACTGGCACACATCAGGCACATACCCAGAATCCCCCGACACTAACAAAGTACTCAATGGGGTTAGAAGGGCACCTAGGAGGAAAGCTTATTGCGTGTCTCATCTGGGTCTGATCTGGGCCTGGGTCAGGCCGCTGAACCTCAGCCTTCTGGGGAAAGCACTGGACACAAACGATTGTCAGCTTCAAGGATTCTTAATCACATTACCTTTTCTGTGAAGTCTTCCCGTGCAGAGTCAGTCCCCTCCTCTGCATAACTCCTGCTCCTTCCTTGTCTAAACATACATTCCTCATATTAAACTGCAACTAGACGTTCTTGTGGATGTCTCCTTTTCTAGATTGTGTGAGCTTATTACCTACGTATCCCTTGTTTTCGGGCAGTGTCTGGCACCTCACATTGTGGGTGCTCAAGAGATGGCTGTTGAATAGACCACCGCACCTCTGGAAAGGCAGCAGGATCACCCCATTTCATAGGAGATCTGCCAGTATCAAGGCTTCTACAGTCTCCAACCCGAGAGGTTCCCATAAGCCAGCGTGTGCAGGTGGGCCCAGAGCCCCCTCTAGTGGCGTTCTCAGGCAGGTGCAGCTCCAGTCGGGAGTGCTACGCTGCTGGAAGATGCTGGGACCCAGGAGATAAGCTCACTTGCTCTTTGTGAAGTTGGTTTGGCACGTGGCTGTTTCCCAGCTCCCCTTCCTTTCCACAGCCTGACAACTCACCCGATTCAGGCTGCAATGGCAAGTACCTCCAATCAAGTCTGTTTCTCCTCCCTCCTTGGCCCCCCATAGGTGTCCTCAGAGCCCCTGTGGGGCACTCTCAATGTTCCTGCCTCTGTCAATAGGTCAGTACTTTCACTATTCTTTCGTGTTCATTAGCATATTTACTTACGACATCCTTTGCCTCATCTCCTCATCTCTACTCTGGACCCATGCTCTCTTCCTTATTCCCCCCCAGAAGGAAAGATGACAGATATTAAGTAGCTGAGCGAATCAGGCAGAGCGAGGACCCAGGATTGACAGCAACAGTCAGAGGAGACCTGAGTTTTCTAGATACACTGCCAGCACCTTCACACTGGTATACAAGTTGGGTTCTCTGCTTTGAGCGCTGAAGGACCTGTGGCCTCATTTCCTCTCTATCCCGGAGGCTGGGCAGCCAGAGGCCAGGTCAGGGTGTTCTCGGCATCTGAGTGTCCCCGGGACCTGTCACCTCGAGACTGCCGCAATGTACCTACCTTCATTCGGGAGTGCTGGTGACTCCTCCGTGACTGCTTCCCCAGAGCCCACCTGTGTCCTGGCACTCAGCGTGAAGCGGTAGCGCGACACGGGGTCTGCTCTTTGCACCGTGAACTTGGTCTGATTGGGAGAGAAGTTCTCCACTATCTGCTTTCCTACTTTGGTTCCATTAACTGGGGAGAGACAGGCAAGCGGAATTGAACTTTAGCAACGTCGACCAGGGTAAGTTACATAACCTGCAGCTGGAAGGAGCAGGCCTTCCTGACCCTGCTGGAAAGGGAAACAGGGGGACCTGCCACGTGCACTTGAAGACTCGGGGGATGGGAGCCTTGGCTCAGAGTGGGGCGAGAACACCTTTTCCAGCTCTCTGATGACGCATCAGGGTTAAAACTTTTTCACTGATCTTGTTATCTCTAGCTCACTGCAAAGTTATGTGGCCGATTGGGACAGGCTCAGTTTATAATCCCCAAGCCTTTTCACTAAGGACAAAACTTTTTTTCTGAGTCTCTTTCTTCCTTTCAAGCAGATCTAGGGCAAACCCACTAGCGCTTTTGATGGTTAATGCCTCCTTTGTGAAAGGCCTATTCAACGTTCTTCAAAGGGGGAAAGTCAGCTCCAGAGATCAATACAAGCACACAGTTGGGTATTAAAGTTGTTAACGCAACACCTGGCCCTTTGAGCTTCCCAATGAGGTACAGCATCACCTACTTTAGAAGCCTTAACATTTTTTAAGTGTAATGACATTTCTGTCCCTGCATGGTGTCGCTATGCTCCTGAGGTGAGGTCTTCCTGACCCAGGCGCAAGTTCTTGGCAACTCTACATACAGCTGCCTTACCACAAATGACACTGTTAAGGTGTCCCTGAGTGTTGCGTGGACTCCTGTGCAGGTACTGTCTACCGCATCAGGTGGACGTTAAAGGTGAGGAGCTCTCTGCCCTAGACTTGTGGGTGTGGGAGACTATAAATAAGGTCCCTGAGGGCTGGGGTTGAATTCCTCATTAGACCAGAAATTCTCTGTCGGCAGCGGCTGACTAGGAGCACCCTGCAGGAGGGGCTGTGTCAGGAGGGCAGGGACGGGGTCTCGCCTGCCTCCCTTGACCCTTTCTCCCTCGCCCCTCCATCCCTCCACGATGCCCTCTGCACCGCAGGTTTTCTACCTCGGTTCCTTTGGAAAAGTGATGAGAATGGGGTTCTGATGCCCAGATTATCTACGAGAAAGCAAGACGGAACGTACAGGCCACGTATCTGAGAGAATATCCAATCAGGATCCCATTGGGGTGTTCCGGATGGTCCCATTCCAGGTTGATTATCTCCAGGTTGGGCTGCCGGACTCGAAAGCGCCTGGGGGCACTGGGTACTTGGGGAAGGAGGAGAGAGTGGGGAGATGAGGGGGAGAGGGAGTGGGCAGGATGAGGGAAACACAAAAAAACAAAGCACAGGTATGAAGGCATTGACCTTGGGCAACCCCCATGCTGGACTGCTGCTAAGCCAGAGCCCATAGCCCATCCACGATGGTGTTTCCCATGGTTCATGACAAGCATGGCTCAGACTGTTTAAGTAGAAGAAGTAAATCGAGTGTTCCTTTAGCAACTACCCTAGATTCGGCACGTTAGGCTCTGATCCTGCAAAGACACCTCCATGGCAGGGCGGAGCCAGTCGCAGGCAGGGAACCAACCGCAGCTGTTTCCTACAGAGGCTGCAGCTCCCGATCCTCAGACAAGGATTCTCACTGCCGCATCCAAGCTGCAGGTCCCGGCCTCTGAGCTGAGGATGCTGGGTTCGGGGAGGAGGAGGAAGGAAGCCGAGATGGAGCACGAGGACAGGGCACAAGGAGCGGAAGTGATGGGCAGAGGCTGTTGGTGAAAACCACAACGAGGAGGGA